GGGGAAGGATACCATGGAATGATAAGGAGTGTCTGCTTCCTGCAGTAAGGTGGTCCCACCTGCTTGGGAGGCTGAGGCAGGAGAATCTCCTGAGCCTGGGAGTTGGAGGTTGCTGTGAGCTGTGATGCTACAGCACTCTACCAAGGGCAATGAAATGAGATTCTGTCTCTATGAGAAAAAAAATACATATATTCTCCATAATGTTATACATAATCTTTTCTATCTAGTTTACTAAGACAAGAGTCTCTCTTTGTCCCCCTAGGTATGACTGCCATGGCGTCATGACAGCTCACAGCAATCTCAAAGTCTTAGGCTCGAGAACCTCTGGCCTCAGCCTCCCGTGATGTGGGGACTATAGGTGCCTACCACAATGCCCAACTAGTTTTTATATTTTCAGTAGAAAAATAGGGCCTCACTCTTGCTCATGCTAAGCTAGTCCTGAACTCCTGAGTTCAAACAACCCAGCCACCATGCCCTGCCTAAAGTAGTTAATTTTTTTTTTTTTTTTTGGAGACAGAGTCTCAAGCCGTCACTCTCGGTAGAGTGCCATGGCATCATAGCACACAGCAACCTCCAACTCTTGGGCTCAAGCAATCCTCTTGCCTCAGTTTTTCTATTTTAAGTACAGATGGGGTATCATTTTTTTTGCTCATGGTGGTCTTGAACTTGTGAGCTCAAGATATCCACCCAGATTGCTAGAATTGCAGCAACCACCAACTCCTGGGCTCAAATGAGTCTCTTGCCTCAGCCTCCCAAGTAACTAGGACCGCAGGCACCCACAACAATGCCTGGCTATTTTTTGGTTTCAGCCATCATTGTTGTTTGGCGGGCCCAGGCTGGATTCGAACCCACCACTTTAGGTGGCTGGCATCTTAGCCACTTGAGCAACAGGCGCCAAACATGGTTTAAGTGATTCTCTTGCCTCAGCCTCCCAAGTAGCTGGGACTACAGGCACGTGCCAAAATGCCTAGGCTATCTTTTTTGTTTGTTTTTTTGTGCAGATTTTGGCCGGGGTTGGGTTTAAACCTGCTACCTCCTGCATATGGGCCCGGCGCCCTACTCCTTGGAGCCACAGGCACCATCCTGGAGCTATTTTTTTTTTTTAATTAAATCATAGCTGTGCCTATTTTTTTGTTGCAGTTGTCATTGTTGTTTGGCAGTCCTGGGCTGGGTTTGAACCCTCCAGCCCCAGTGTATGCGGCCAGCGCCCTAGCCACTGTGCTATAGGAGCCAAGCCTAAAGTAGTTAATTTGTATTTGTATTTGTATTCTTTTGTTAGAGGCAGAGTCTTACTTTGTCGCCCTCCGTAGAGTACTATGGCATCACAGCCAGCCCACAGCAACCTCCAGTTCTTGGGCTCTAGGTGATTCTCTTGCCTCAGCCTCCGGAGTAACTGGGACTACAGGTGCCAGCCACAATGCCTGGCTATTTTTTGTTGCAGTTTGGCCAGGGCCGGCTTCGAACCCACCACCCTCAGTATATGGGGCTGGTGCCCTACTCATTGAGCCACAGGCGCTGACCTAATTTTTAATATGTGTAATAGAGATGTGCGTTGGAATCTCCACCTCAGAGATTGTCTTCTATTCTAACTTGCACACCGTCCCTGATACTGTAACATGGCTTTTACAATTGGCCATTAAAATTTAAACTATGAAACAATGACCCCCATTTTAGGGATGTCCTCTAAATGTTTCCAACCAAATTCCGTGTAGAAACTGAGGCTGTGGACCTGTGGGGCTCATGACCTCCCACGGCCATTGTCCCAGGGCCTGGGGTGATAACTCACATAACTTCCCCCAGAAGGGCAGGGGCTGGAGCAGCTCTCAGGCTCCTCTGCACCTACCTCCTGGTAGGACGGGAACTCAGTGGGGCCCTGGATGAAAGTTAAGGGGGTAGTGGTCACCATGTCCACTCCTCAGTGGCTGGGAGACATGGTCACGGTGTCAGCAGGAAGAGAGATATGGCTTTGTTGCCACCAAATGCAAAGTGATATTGGCATAAACTGAGGACTCTTCCACCTCTCCCAGGCCAGTGACTTTGACCATGGAAGATGGGGGTGGTCAGGACTGGCCCGAGGAGGATGCCTTTTCCCTAGACGTGTCCTCAGGATGTTTTCCTTGCAGATTCACCAAGATGAGCCGCCAGGGTGCACCGAGACTCCTGGACCTGGCTGTGCAGAGCCTGGTGAGAAATGAAGCCTTGGCCATGTCTGCTCTGGAGGAGCTGCCCGGGGAGCTCTTCCCACCGCTGTTCATGGAGGCCTTCACCAGGAGACGCAGCAGAGTCCTGACGGCCATGGTGCAGGCCTGGCCCTTCACCCGCCTCCCTCTGGGGTCCCTGATGAACTTACGTGACCTGGAGATGTTGAGAGCTGTGCTGGACGGGCTGGATGCGCTGCTGGCCCAGAAGGATCAGCCCAGGTGAGGGGAACCCAGGAAGCTTGGGAGGGATTGGCATGGGGGATAGAGCAGAGTCAGGAAGAATGAGGGAGCCCAAGGGAGGAACAGAGACATCGGGAGGCACCAGTGAGGCAGCTCAGATAACTGACCATCCCTGAGCCCCCTGGGAAAGGGGTCCCAGGATGGAAAGATGCTCCCCATGCTGGGACCACTGAGAGAATGAGAAACCCCCTCCTCCCATTGGCACCTAAGGACACTGGGTGTGAGAACAGGCGGGGGGTTCAAGGCAAGGGAGGATGAGGAAAGGCAGGCAGAGGAGAAGTCAGGGGGACCAGCAATGACTTGAGTGTGGAATAAAAGGTCAGGTCACAGGTGGGTCCGTCCCTAAATTCTGAGACTCCCCATTCACCCATAGGAAATGGAACCTGCAAGTGCTGGATTTGCGGGATGTGGATGGGAACTTCTGGGCCGTGTGGTCTGAAGGGATGGCCCATACCTGCCCACCAGATGCCATGGATGAGAGGAAAACAGAGACAGACTGTCCGGGTTCGGGAAGGGTGAAGCCCTTCAGAGTGATTGTAGATCTCTGCCTCAATGTAAGAACACTGGACGAATCCCTCAAGTACTTCTCGGAGTGGGCCAAGCAGAGGAAAGATTCCATCCACCTGTGCTGTAGGGAGCTGGACATTCTTGCAGTAGCCTTCCAGAATATCCGCAAATTCCTACAAACGGTGGATCTGGACTGTATCCAGGAGGTGGAGCTGAATTGCTATTGGAATCTGCCCACCTTGGGACAGTTTTCTTCTTACCTGGGCCGTATGCGTCATCTTGAGAAACTCTGTGTCTCCCACATCCGTGCTCCTGCCTATCTTTCTCCAGAGATGAAGAAGAAGCATGTGCTCCAGATGGCCAATGCGCTCCTCAACCTGGACCGTCTCCAGAAGCTTGATCTGTACTCTGATGCCTTCCTTGAAGGCCACCTGGACCAGGTGCTCAGGTGAGGAAAGGTGGGGCGTTTTCTCTGCAGACCAGAATGTCAACACACAGTTGTGTTCACTGTCTGTCCTAAAGTGGGTGTCACATAACTACCCCCCCAGGAAAGCTGCCATGGAGAGGGACACTAAGCTAGGGAGCGAGCTGTTAGGGTTCTCAGATCTAGCGAGGGTACATTCGTGAATTTGTCCTGAAAAAGTGTGTCAAAGATCAGATGATGGGAAATTGGTAAGTGAGGAAGGAGCTGAAGAAGGGACAGCACATCAAAGCTTCACTTCTGAAACTACGGAGGAACCTCTGTAAGTTGACCACCCAAGACACTGCAGCGTACTGGTCAACACAGGGCGGTGTCAACATAGGGAACTAGGCTTGCTGTGCTCATAGGTCCGTGTGGCACGTGTCTGGTCTAGGACAGTTAGGGCAACTTAGGGAGGTGTTCCAGGTAGGGAGGGGGTCAGCTCTGGAGGTTCTGCTGCATGGGCTCTGTCCTCAGTGTCTTAGTGAACACTACTGAGCCTGTCTCTAACTCCCTCTGTGTCATAGGTGGTTTGGGGGCTCCAAATAAATCAATTCACGTATGGAAGATGCCAGAATCTTCAGTAGAGGGTGAAGGAGCGGGAGTAAAGAACTATTAAGAGTGAGAGATGGGTGCTGAGGACACAGACATGCCGGTGACTCTGCAGCCACCTGCAACCCCAGCTGATGCTGCTGGATCTTACCTGGTTATGTCCTTTATGTGGGTCTCCCACTGGGCTCGTGTGGCCCAATAATGTGGGATTTTTCAACAAATGGGAAAGGGAGTCTTAGACATTCTGTGGAATTGAGTGAGTTGCATGAGTGCTGGAGAATCACCCTAAAATGAGACTGACCAGAATGACCACAGCCTTCAGCAGACATCATCTTGGGTGCTGGCCAGCATCAGATGATCAACAGAATGACTTTGGGCTTGGGCAAAACGCCCACCTTGACGGCCTTCCCTACTCCCCTCCACTCACTGCTACCATTCCCCAGAACTAACTTCTTACTCTGCGTTCCAGGTGCCTCAGGACCCCGTTGGAGACCCTCTCAATAAGCCACTGCCCACTTTTAGAATCAGACATGAGCCATCTGTCCTGGTGCCCGACCCTCACTCAACTAAAGCACCTGGTCTTCAATAATGTGAGACTGACCGATTTCAGCCCTGAGCCCCTTCAACTTCTCCTGGAGAGAGTCGCTGCCACTCTGCAGACCCTGGACCTGGAGGACTGTGGGAT